TGATTCCTCGACCTACCTTCAGCAGTTGCAGGATACCCAATTCAAAGTGGGAAATGCACAAAGAACCCAACTCCTTCCTCCAGGACACAAAAGTCTCTGGCTTGGCGATCTTTGGATCTTCTCAAGCCCTGCTCTGCTGTGGGACTTCTCTGAGCTAACCTGATAAAACACCCTTCTGAGCAAACTCCTTGGAGCTGCATCTGGTCCATGCCATTGCAGTACAAGGGTTAATCTGTAAATGCCACCTCATGCAGAGGGCAAGAAAGGTATATAGGAAAAAAATTGCTGCTGCATAGGAAGAATAAGTCAGAAGAAACAGGACCAATTTGTTCTGCTGCTGGAGGTAAAGGAAGTAGTAGCCCTAGCCAAAGGGCAGGGCTGAGCACTGAAACCTCAAACAACAAGGGACACTTTCCCAAGGATAAAGAAGAGAAATTTGCTACAAATTAATTTTTTGCTTGGAATACTGGTCTCAGACACTGGCAGCATTATGATCAGTATATTATGAATTGCTATGTAAATGTAGGTACCTATTACAAAATAGGTAAGCAAATCAATACTTCTCCTCCCCCAAACTCTGCTTTTCTGCCCTACCCTGTCCCAAGACATTTTGCTGGAAGGTGCTCAAGGGGTCAGTGCTTCTTCAAGAGCAAGGGCTCTGTTCACAGGCTTGTTTCCTCTCTTAGGGAATTTCTCACCAAACACATATTTGCATCAGAGAACTGCTCTATTACTGAGAGGTTAGTTCAAAACAAGATTCCTAAAGCTCTAGGTGCCCCCAGAAGTTAAAACAAAATCGGTTTCAGAGCAGGTTATTCTATAACAACCAGCTGAATTGAACAACTTAAGAACTGCTACTCTTCCCCATAAGGCTAACATTTGTGATGAAACATTAATGCCAGATACTTGTGGAAACTGCTCAGCATAGAAGAAGCTGCCTATAAAGCGGTATAAAACTTCCGAAAGAGGAAAGATTCCTTCCATCTCCTTCCCTCCCCTCAACTCCCCAGTTTCTCCATTTGTCCTCCCAAAGCCAGTAGTATTGTGAAGGGTCAGCTGCAAGTGGTGTCGGAGGCAAACAGGCCCATGTAGTCTGGGCAGATGACTGCCAGCTGAGCTTCCATGTTGGTTCTCACTCAGCTGCTTCTGTTCCCTGCTGCAAGCACCTGGGAGAGCAAAAGGTAAGGAGAAGTTCAGTAGTGCTGAAGGTGCCTTTAATTCCAATTTTTATGAAGATGGGCAGCCAGATAAAAGATAGACAGCTTGGAGTAGCAGCTGGTGAAAGCTTATGCTTTGAATAAAAGCTTCTTCTTTCCTTGCCAGCTTCAATATACCCTTCCAGGCTGCCTTCAGAAGAAACAGCTAGCTCTTTTAGGAATCACTCAACTTTAATTTATTTCAACTCTGTAAGAAGAGAAAAAGACTCCACTCCTTTGTTCTCATCTTTCACACTGGCCCAGCTCAAACTGATGAAGCAGCTTCTTCCTGC